ACACACACACACACACACACACACACACACGAGTATAGGCATCCACTGGCAGTCTTAGAACCATCACCTACAGATAAGGGGCAACTACTCTACTTACTTTCTGTTCTTTTTGTGCAGGGGGAGTGTTTCTGAGGTGCTGGGTATCAAACTTGGGACCTTTGCACAGAGCTACATCTTCGTCCCTTTTTAGTCTATTTTACAATAGGGTCTCACTGAGTCACTAAATTTCACAAGGTGGGCTTGAACTGGGGATCCTCCTGTCTCCCAGAGTGCTGGGATCACAGATGAGCACCACCATGCCTGGCTTTTGTACCTTTTTCCTTTTAATTTCATAATTACTGCATAAATGATTTCCTACTATCAGTGTTTCATTAATATTTTAATGGCTGCATAATGATTACCATAACTCCCCCCATTTTTGAATATTTAGGGTTGTTTTCAGCTATTCACCACTATAAATAACAAAGTAGTGAGGATCTTTGTTCAGGAGTCATTGATTGTATTTCAAATTATCTTCTTAGGATTTGTGACCAGAAATAAAAAGACTAGGTAAAAATGCTGAACTCTTTTTTTAAAAAAAATCTTTCCGGTGCTAGGGATCAACCCAAAGGCCTGTGCATGCTAAACACACGCTGTACCATTAGGCTACACTCAACCCTGCAAATCTTTTTCAAGTTTTCAGTTTTTTGTGGGTTTGTGTGTGTGTGTGTGTGTGTGTGTGTGTGTGTGTGTGTGTTTTGTTTTGTTTTTCTGAGACTAGGTCTTTCTGTGCAGCCCAAGCGGGCCTGAAACTCGAGGCAATCCTCCTTCCTCAGCCTCCCAAGTGCTGGGATTACAGGCATGTGCCACCATGCCCAGCCCTTTTCAGGTTTTTGATACATATTACCAAGTTGCTCTCCAGAAAGATTTTTCTGCTTTATCCTCTCTCCAGCTGTGTTTAATATTTTTTTTGTCTGTGTGTGTGGTACTGGGGATCGAACTCGGGTCCTTGCGCTTGCGCAGCAGGTGGCGAAAGCACTGAGCTAAATCCCCAGCTCTGTCTTTAATACTTTTTGTTTCATTCTAGAACAGCTTTGAATTTATCAGTGGTAGACACTGCTAATTTGTTGTCAAATAGCTTCTATCTTGTTTAAATACACAATTTTTGTTCATCACTGGTGCTGTGGATATTTTTTACATGTAGATCAACTCTTGCCCAGTATATTTGCAAGACAGTTTGTTAGACTTGGGACTGAATTTTTTTTTTTTTTGGCAGTTGCGGAGATCAAAGCCAGAGGCACTATACTGCTGTGCTAGGTCCCCAGCCTGTTTTTTTAAAAAAATTTCCTATATTTCTTTTTTAAAAACAAGATCTCAGTGTGAAGTTCAGGCTGGCCTTGAACTCACTGTGTAACCCAGGCTAGCCTAATTTATGGCGATCCTCCTGCCTCAGTTTCCTAAATGCTGAGATCATAGGTGTGCGCCACCATGCCCAGCTCCTTTTTTTCTTTTTTCTTTTTTTTTTTTTTTTGATACCGGGTACAAACTCAGGACCTTGCATTTTTGAGGCAGGTGCCGGAACCACTGAGCTAAATCCCCCACCCCCCTTTTTTTCTTTAAGACAGGATCTTGCTAAGTTGCCAAGGCTGGCCTTCAACTTGTGATCCTCTTCCTGCCTCAGCCTCCCGAGTAACTGGGATTACAAGCATGTACCACTGTACCCTTTGGGACTCAATTTCCTTATGTGTCTAGTATTGAAATTTCTTCATAGCATTTAAATAGTGTCTTCTTATACATTCATTTGATTTGGTTGTTTGGGTGTTCTTCCTGTCCTCCCTCTCTGACATGTCAGTGCTTTGAAGGCCAGGGCTTGCTCACTGTTGATTTCCTGGGGTTCAAAGTGCAGACTGAAACTGTAGACTCAGCAGAAGGCTTAGTCCATTCAGAAGGCAGTTTGCTTGGAACAGTAGTGGTAGAGAATGCTTCGGAAGGAAGGAAGGGACGGAGCGAGGGAAAGGAAGAAAGGAAGGAGAAGGGAAAGGGAAGAGGAAAAGGAGAGGGAGGAAAGGGGGAAAAGAAAGGAGGGAGAGAGAGGAAGGGAGAGATGGGCCGCTCAAGGTCCATCTTTGCTATGTACTATCCATGACCTTGAGCAAGTGATTTAACCTCTCTGCCTCCCTTTTATTTTTTCTCTTTTTCTGTCACATTGCGATAGTAATAGTTCATCCTTTGTTAATTTGGCAAGAATTTAAGTTAATTTAAGATCTGGCACATAGTTAATACCAAATATTTTTTAGCTGTGGCTCAACTTTTTCTGTTGAGATGGGATCTCACTAAGCTGCCCAGGCTGGCCTTGAGCTTCTGAGTAGCTGGGATTAAGGCCTGTGCCTCCTCGTTTGGCAGTCCTGCCCTTTCTGATTCTCAGTAATTGTACCCATTGAAATAAAATACTACAAAACTTCTGGCAAAGGAGTAGGTTTTCTAACCATATCCTTTTTCTCTCCTGGAAAGCGTGATTTGACACCATGCCCAAGAAATATGACAAATACAATTGAATTGTTTTTGTTACCAAAGCAAGTCCCTGTGATGGCTTAGGATTCCTTTGTGGTTATTTGTGCTTTATTGCTGTTTGATGTGTGTGCCTTCTAATTCTCCCTAAGATCCAAAAGCTGTTCCAGATCTGTAGCTACAGAGATCATTATATTTTGCTTTGGATAAAGGTTGAGATTTGTTCATTCTCCAGGTTCTTGTTTGAGCTCCACACATACTGCAGCACTTTATATACTGAATGCACCTATTTTTTGTAGGATTTATGTTTTATTCTCAAGTCAGAAGAGTAGAAAATATAAGGATCTCAGTATTATTGAAATAGAATTTAAATCTCAATCCAGCCATTTCCCAGCCCTCCTGCCTTAAAAAGAGGGACTTTCTCTGCTTCAGTTCCCTTCTCTGTGAAAGGAGGAATGTATTGGTAATATTTACCATTTAGTATGTAATGGAGACCATTATTATTGCTACTGAAACTGTAATTGTGTATTTCAAAGGCTATCTTTTCTGGGAAATCTGGCACCTTTGGTCTCTAGTAGGAATGAACTTTAGCAGATGTTGGGCTCCCCTGAATGAGCACAGGGCAGGATAGTCAGCAAAGTGGAAGAGGTTACAGGGAGGATATTAACATCCTTCTTAGATGTACTTATGGCTTTTCAATCTTGGGGATTTTGATATGTCTGGAAAATTCCTAAGAACCATCCTAACTCCTCCATGATGTTGAGTATGGGCTCCCTGCCTATAACTGTGTTGTCTGTCTCGGGGGTCCAGGTAAGAAAGTGACCCTGCCACATCCCACCAAGGTCAACGTTAGGTGCTAGGGTGGACCTCAGTGCTGGATTGCTTGCCTAGCATGCTCAAGGCCCCGGGTTCAATTCTCCAGCACTGCAGGGGGCAAAAAAACCCCTCAAAGCCAGTGGCCCTTCAGCCTTGGTATTTTAGGTACCAACCTTCTCTCTGAAACAGAAACCAAGATGTGGGCCATGCCAGAAGTGACCAGCCCTCCGCCATCCCCAAGAACGTTCCACACATCAGCAGCAGCCATTGGAAACCAGCTCTTCGTCTTCGGGGGTGGAGAGAGAGGTGCTCAGCCTGTGCAGGATGAGAAGCTGCATGTGTTTGATGCAAGTATGGACTGACGGGCACTGTGGGGCTGCTGCTTAGCTGCTGAGGGACATCATGGCCCACAGCTTACCCGATGTAGGAAGCAGAGGTTTGGAAATGAAACAATGGCTGGGTGTGGTGGTGCATGCCTGTAATCCCAGCAGTCCAGAGGCTGGGGCAAGAGGACCTCTGTGACTTCGAGGCCAGCCTGGGCCACATAGTTGAGACCCTGCCTCAAAAAAGGAATGAATGAATGAAAGAAAGAAAATGAAACCATGGCTGAGTATCTCAGTTCTAAACTTCTCTGATATATTCCTTAGCTGCGTTATTCTTCCTGTAGCAACATTTTCATTTAAAGGGCCAGGATTTAGCTCAGTGGTGCTGCGACTACCTGGCAAGCACAAGGTCCTGAGTTCAATCCCCAGTACTGAAAAAAAAATTTAAATAGTATAGTTTGGAAAGTAAGAGCAGGGCCAGGGATTTAGCTCAGTGGTGCAACCGCCTGCCTCGCAAGAGCAAGGTCTTGAGTTTGATCCCCAGTACCAAAAAAAAAAAAAAGAAAGAAAGTACAAGCAGTAAAAGTTTCCCCTTTTATCTTTCCTTTCTACCCCCCAGACAGAGGTAAACACTACTGTTAGTTCCTAAAGTCTTTTTCCAGACTCTCCTATGCATTTATTTGTTTGTTTGGGGTTTTTTTGGTATTAAATGAAATAATGTGATACAGTGCCCAGCACAGAGAAAGAACCTAACAATTACTGTACTATTACTATTTCTTTATTTAATTATGTCTCATGGATATCTTTCTAAGTTACTCTTAGTTTCCCCACAAAGCATATTCTGCTGTGGGTACCCATTTTTTAGTCCTTTTCCTCCTTACTGATTGGCTTTTTGCTGACATTGTTAAAGTGAAAATTTTGGGCCAGGGATTTAGCTCAGTGGTTCCACTGCATGCCTCACAAGCAGAAGGATCTGAGTTCAATCCTCGGTACCAAAAAATAAATAAATAAATAAAGTGAAAATTTGTATATATTAAACTGGTAAGAACAGATATTACACTTGATCTTAGCCAAAAGGCCAAGAAGCAATGAAAATTTGTATATATTAATCTTTGTACATATTAAGAACATTTATATGGAATAGATGCTGAGAAGTATAATTTCTGGTTCAAAATGCTATCAACAGTTAAAATTGTGAGATCTCTCAAATAAATTAATTAAATAAAAGAGAGATGTCTTGCCAGACATGGTCACACACACCTGTAATTCCAGCATTCCACAGGCAGAGGCAGGAGGATCACCTCAGGTTCAAGGCCAGGCTGAGCTACAGAGTGAATTCAAGGCCAGCCTGAAATACAAACCGAGACCCTGTCTCCAAAAAAAGAGGGAGATCTCTTACCATATTGTTGTCCAAGGAGCATTTAGTTGAGATTTATTTCTGTTACCTAGGGGAAATTTATGAATAACATTTTACTAATACTATGTGACAAAAATATTTTTTATGTGTGCTATAGTAAAGATGAAGCGTCTTTTGAGAAAATGGAATATGCTAAGTGAAATTTCAAACTTCCAAAGTAAAGTTGAGAGAATTAAGACACACCATAGCATGATTTTGCTCTTCCAAAAAGCATGGGCTTTGGCTGGGGATGTAGCTAAGTGGTGCTGCGCCTGCCTGGCAAATGCAAGGTCCTGAGTTCGATCCCTGGTACCACAAAAAGAATGGGCTTTAAAAATTTTAAATAACATGGGCTTTGGATAAATGAAACTACATAGAAGAAAATACATGTGTAGGTATATATGCAAATTATAACTAATATAATATTATTGCCCCCAAATTACTATTTACCTCTTAATGCATTTAGTAGCCTTTTTATTAAACAGCAGAGGTAATTCTATATGTAATATTTATATCTCTTTTTTGTTTTGCTTTGTTTTGAGACAGGATCTTCCTATATAATTCAGGCTGGCCTCAAACTTTGGGCCTCAGCTTCCCAAGTGCTAGCAGTATTTGTATTTTGTAAATTTCACTGAAACATTTACCCCATGCATTCCAAAGTCCTTACCAACATTTTAAAAGAGCAACATAGAAAAAAAAGAGCAACATAGTATTCCATTGTGGCTATACCAGTAACTCAACCATTCACTTGTTGATACACTATTTCTACTTTTTTTTTTTTTTTGATACCAGGGATTGAACTCTGGTACTTGTGCTTGTGCAGCAGGCAGCGATACACTATTTCTATATCTTCTCTATTTTAAACAATTCTAGAATGAACATATTTGGACAAAATCCTTTTGAGATTTTTTTTTTGGTACTGGGGATCGAACTCAGGACCTTGCACTTTCGAGGCAGGCAGCAGAACCACTGAGCTAAATCCCTGGCCTCTTTTTGAGATTATTTTAAATTGTATTCCTTGGACCACTGGGCGCTTCTTGAATAACCAGAAAGTATACCATACGTGGTGATTTAAAGATAAATCATTAGGCAAACTGTTGTGTTACATAGCTTTTATAGTACTTCTTCAATACTTTTCTGATAGGTTGAAAGGATTAATCAATTTTCCAAAATTTTATATATATA